CAACTTCAAATTTGCCCCAGAGCCTGAGGCTTGGGTCCTTGCTTCTCTTTCTCTGCTCAGGATCTCAGCATTTTCTTAGAGCCTATCCCTGGCCTTCCCTCACTTGGCATTCTGGGGCTCTATTGCCCAATTCTCTTCTCCTGTGGAGAGTTTTTCTTGCTATGCCTTCAGCTGAACCCCTCTCCATTCTAGTGTCTCCACTGTAGACAAGTCCTATTCTAGTCTTGCTTTCCTTCTTGCTCTGTACTAGCTCCTTGAGAAGACACCTCAGGTTCCCCCCACCCCGTGTGCTTAAGCTACCAGTTGCCAAATCTATACTCCTAACCAGGCCACTCTACATTCTCCTCTTGGGTGTCTCCTAGACTCCACAAACAGCAGGAGCATACTGACCTTCCTACCTTCTGCAGGTTCTGCCATTGGCACTTCCACCTGCCTGTAACCCAGAGAGGAGCTCTGCATAATGAGGAACTGTTCCCTCTTCTTCCCTGTCTCAGCCAGCCCTTGAGCCTACTTGGTCCACCACACTCCTGTGTGTGATTCAGTGCTTCCCAGCGTAAGTTCCAGAGCCAGCCTGTCTGTTAGAATCCCATTACTACTTATATGGTCTTGGATAAGTTATATAGCCTCTCAAAGTCTCAACGAATGAGACAATAATAGAAATTTCTCTTATAGAGTTGTGAGGTTTACATGAGTTGATATATGTCAAAATACTTAGGGGAGTGCCTCACTCATGTTAAGTACAACAAAATTCTTTTAAGGATCAGTATTTCTTTGTTTTACAAATATTTTAGAATGTTTTCTATATGTTAGGTTCAACATGAGATCCTGCATAATAAAAGTGATTTTAACCTGATGTGATGACACATGCCTGTAATCCTAGACCTTGGGAGGCTGAGGCAGGAGGATTGTTTCGAGTTCGAGGCCAGCATGGGATGCAAAGTGAGCTCAAGATCAACCTGAACTGCATAGCAAGACCCTATCTCAAAAAGATGGGAAAGACCATCCAGATAGCTCAGCCAACTAAAGCCCCTGCTCAGGCAGAGCCCAGTGGCCAGGGTTCCATCCCTGGCGTGCTGTGCCAGCCCCACCCCAGGGGCATGCTGAGACAGATTGAGACTGGGCGTGGCGATGTGCATCTATTATCCCAGCGCTTGGAAGGCTGAAAACAGGAGGATCACTATGAGTCCAATCTGTGTAGTGAGACCCTTTAGACCCTGCACCAAATTTTAAAAAAAGACAGAAAAAAAAAGATTCTGACTCCTCCAAGAACTTTATAGTCAAAACAGAAGCCCTTTCATGAAAGTCCCATAATGTGAGCATTTCCTGTCATTTGATCCAGACTCTACTTACTCCCATTTTATTTATTTATTTATTTATTTATTTATTTATTTATTTATTTATTTTTGCGGAACTGGGGATTGAACTCAGGCCCTTACGCTTGCCAGGGAAGCACTTATTCCACTGAGCCATCTCCCCGGCCCCTTTACTCCCATTTTAAGCCACAGAAGAAAAAAGCATATCCTTGACTCCATATTTCCCTTTGGCCTGGCTTACTTTCTCATCTGTCAAGCTTCTCACATTAGTGTCCTGCCAGCAAGTATTTACTGAACACCTATTACCTGCCAGGCATGGTGGGCAGTGAACACAAAACATGAATCTCTACCTTCAGTTAGTTTATCTTCTTGTGCGGGACCAATAAACAAATAGATCAGCATGTATAATCTAATGCCAGCAACATTAGCAGGTAGTGTAAAGTAAGATCAAGCAAGGTAGGGAGCATAGATAGGGAGCAGTGGGACTGTTTTAATTAGTTGGGATGATCAGGATAGTCTTCTCTGAGGATGTGACGTTTGACCTGAAGGGGGTGAGGTGATCTGACAAGGTCTGAGGGGGAAGACTCCTGTGGAAGGACAAGAAGGCACCAGTGGCTGCAGGACCAAGGTGGAAAGCGGAGATGAAGCTGGAGAGTGAGGGTGGAGCCAAGGGTAGCTGTACATCCACTGTGTCCTGGACTATACTGGTGTAATTACTAATGTTGCTTCCATTCACTCTCAGAGATGTCTGGGGTTTAGATGAGAAATGACACAGCCACCCTACCACATATAGGCATGGGAAGTCGTTGGCACTTCATCCCTAATCCGATGCAAAGCCTGTGGACCATTCTGAGGAGGAAGTTCAGATTCTGATGCTCAGATTAAAGGTCTTGACTAAAGTCAGTGACGCACTCTGCTCCTGCCTTGCCCCAGCTTGATCTCCTCCGCCTCCCTGGTGATTCCTCTCTGGTTCACTCTAGCAGCTCTTGCCCTTGCAGCTCTTTCTCTTCTACTCAATCCTGAAATCCTGGAGTTTCTCAAGACCAGTGCTTCTCAACTGGGGTTAATCTCTCCTTCCACATGGGGGGTACCACTTGCATCTATCAAGAATGCTGCTGAACATTCTGCAGCCCACAGGACAGGCCTACACAATAATTATCCAGCCTAAAATGTCTATAATGTCAAGGTTGAAAAACCCTGCACTGGATTAGCACTGCCCAATAAAAATATCATGGGAGCTGCATATTGAATGAAAATGGTTCTAGTGGCCACGCTGAAGAAAATAAAAGGAGCTGGGGAGGTAACTCAAAGGTAGAGTTCTTGCTTAGCATGTATAAGTCCCTGAGTTCAATCTCCTAGCCCCCAAAAAAAATTTTTTTGAAAGGAATTTTTAAAAAAAGAATTGAGTTCTTTTTAGGCACAAAAGTACAGGTACAAATTCCCTATAATAGATGTAATAATTATGAATGCCTAAAATGTACCAATAAACTTCATTTTTAAAAGTTGATTTTACCAATATAGTTTATTTATTCTAATCTATCTAAAATGTCATTTCAACATGAAATCAGTATAAAAATATCAGTGAGATGCTTTGCTTTTTAAATTGTACTGTGTCTCACCCATCCTATACCCGGGAATTCAGGACAGGCTCATTTCAAGCTTTTAACAGGCATACATGGCTCAAGGCCCTTGGATTGATGGCATGGCTCTAGACTTAGTCTTAGATCATATAGCCTAATGTTTAAGAGGTCTATAAGGTAAATAAAAGGCTTATAGTTTGGCTCTGGGATCAAACTCCCTTGTTGAATTTCAGTCTTTCCATTTACAACCTGTTGACTTTAGGTTGAATAACTCTACCTTTCTGTGACTTATTTCTTATTTGTAAAGTGGGGATAATATTAACACTACATTGTAGGTTACCAGGGATGAAATTTTAGTACCAGTACCAGTTAGTACGTACAAAACATGTAGGGCCCTTTCTGGTATTACAATAAGTGCTCAACAAATGTTAAGTTAGGCACCTTCTGTCCCTATCCACACTTTCTGGATGACCTCATCCTCCTGGAGCTTTAAATGCCATCTATTACCTAATGACTTCCACATTTAAGTAATGGATTTACCTAATGACTTCCACATTTAAGTAATGGATTTAGACTTTTCTTCTGAACTCCAGGCCCCTGTTTAACTGTGCACTATATTTGATGAACCAGGACATCTCACACGAATATATCCACCACAGAGTCCTTGGCTTTGCACTGCAACCTGTGCCTCTGCCAGTCCTTGCTACCTCAGCCAGTTACACAGGGCAAATATCGCACAAGGCTTCCTTGCTTTTTGCCTCCCCAGGGACTGCAGAGCACGTAGACTGTGTACTTGCTATGAAGGGAGTTTCTATTGCTCTAGCCTCTGCCCACGGAGATCAAGTGAATGCCAAGGGCATTTGGAAGAAGCTGTGGCTGGGGTGACCATGAGCACCTCCTGATAGGAGCTTCTCATGCCAATTGTGTACCAGTGCATCCCTGCAGGTTACACCTGAGTGTGTTTGTGTAGCTTGCCAAGTGTGGGCCCGTGTGGCAGGAAGCACAGGCCTGTACTTTCCCACCAGGTAGTCAAGAATCCCTAAACAGGTCTTGCTAGGGGAGAAAGTGCAGTTGTCCTCAGATGATCAACCCCTCTCTCCCACATGAAAGGAAATCATCCTTCTGTGCCCCTGGCAAGCAAGATAAATGGCAGAGACTTAAGCTGGTACCCACCCTTCATCTCCTCCTGACCTATGACAAGGAAGGCAGATACTGTCTCCCAGAGTTCCTTCCCAAGGGGCAGGGCATCAGGATCCTCCAGTGAATGGATAGTTTGGTCTGTTGTCAAACTGGGACCCGGAGGACTGGGGATTTACCTCAATGGCACAGCGCCTGTCTGGCAAGCTCAAGAGCCTAAGTTCAACACCCACCCCCCACACACACACACACAAAGTGGGGCCTGGAAAGAGAGTTCCTTCCTTTTCCCTGCCCTTCCTCAGTTCTGCAGCTTCTCATATAAGCCCTCTCCTGGACGGGGTCTTGGCTTCCCAGGAAAGTTCTGTCTCACATGAACTGGGACCTGACTCCTAAGGACAGGCCAGCAACCACCACTGACAAGTCTGGCCCTCAAGGACCTTGGCGGGAGCCCAAACCTGTCTGCTGGCCAGGGCACAACCTGAGTGCCTGCTTTGGATTTGACTGCAGCTTCTCACCGATCTGAGCACTCTGTAGCGTACACACACAGACACAGACACAGACACACACACACACACACACACGTTTTGGGCTCCTAAGGGACTAGCTGCTGAGGAATTCTTGTTGAGGAGCAACCTGCTCACTTACAGCCACCCCACCAGCCTAGCCAAATCAACTGTGGACCTCAGATCCCAGGGAGGCGGGAAGGTACAGCTGGCCCTTGGGAGGCTGGGGTGTCTGTCCCTGGAGCGCCCAGGGCACACCAGGGACAAATCTGTACACCCCGCCTCCCAGTGGGACCTCCCAGGCACCTGCCCAAGGCCACCCAGGGTGCAGCGGCCATGGCAGAGCCGGACCTCCCAGCGGTCGGTGGGGGCGGTGACGCCCGGGGCCTTCCCACGGCTCGGTGGCGCGTCACCGCGGGGGCGAGGGGGCGCCGGGGCGCCGGGGGCGGCGGCGCAGGAAGAGCCCTGGGAAAGGGCGACGTCTGCGCCCCGGGGCGGAGCCCGGCAGGGCCAGGGCAGGCCAGGGCGGGGCGGGCAGACTGAGAGCAGAACGCCGCAGACTTCTGCAGCCTGCGCTCGCCATGAAACGGCCCAGGGAGCAGAGTGGCTCCGACGGCGAGTCGGACGGACCCATCGACTTGGGCAGCGAGGGCGACCTGAGGTAAGGCCAGGGTGGGCGCGCCCCAAGCGGTTCTCGAGCAAGGACGCCGCGTGTGGGTTCGGTCTCTGCCTCTGAAGGGGCAGGTGCAGGTGCGCTACAGCTTGCAAGTGCCAGTGGACGTGTGGGGTGTGTGTGTGTGTGTGTGTGTGCGCGCGCGCGCGCGCGCACGCGCCCAACTGCAGGTGATTCCTGGGTGCCTAGCTGATGTAGGGCTCAGATGCTGAGGGGTCTGATGGCCAGTTGGGGATGGTCTTTCTGTTGATGCCTTCCCCCCAAGAAGGCCGCTGGTAAGTTTTCCTGAAGACCTTAGGAAGCCCTCATAGATTGTTGGTGTCACATTCCCTGTCCCAAATCTGCTTACAATACAGAATAACCACACTTGCCCTATTTTACCTTGGTTGAAGTACAGTTTTCATGCAGTCCACAGAATCTTCGCAGGAAAGGAATCTTTTCTTTCTTT